TTCTGCCTAAAGGTAAAGGTAAAGGTACCCCTGCCCGTACGGGCCAGTCTTGACAGACTCTAGGGTTGTGCGCCCATCTCATTCAAGAGGCCGAGGGCCAGCGCTGTCCGGAGACACTTCCGGGTCACGTGGCCAGCGTGACAAAGCTGCATCTGGCGAGCCAGCGCAGCACACGGAAACGCCATTTACCTTCCCGCCAGTAAGCGGTCCCTATTTATCTACTTGCGCCCGGGGGTGCTTTCGAACTGCTAGGTTGGCAGGCGCTGGGACCGAGCGACGGGAGCGCACCCCGCCGCGGGGATTTGAACCGCCGACCTTTCGATCGGCAAGCCCTAGGCGCTGAGGCTTTTACCCACAGCGCCACCCGCGTCCCATACATTCTGCCTACCTCTGCACAAAAGTGAGAAGCCGTGACAAAGAAGACCAGGCAGACCAGTTGGAGGATTGGGCTGAGGGCAGGAAAAGTGTGTGGGGAAAGTTATTGAAAGTGAAACCCGGAATGCTCTCTCAAGGCAATTCCTGCCATTTTCATCTTGTTCAACAAGGCTTGTATTTGTGAAGGGAAGTCAATAAAGAGACATTTGTTTGAGACTGAATGTTTACCTGAGGGAGACTTATCTTGGCCAAGCTCAGAACACTTCAGGGAGGTGATAAAACGAAGGAAGACCTTTCTCTTTCTCGCTGAACTTTTCCCACCCCTGCAAGTCCAACAAGCCTTTGGTGTACAAGAGACTACAGGGATGACTCACCCAAGGCTGTTTGAGAACCATGTGCTTCGCATTGTGACTGGCAACATTGCGGAATCAATGGAATGACAGCAACACGCCATTACTTTAAGCGCTGGCAATACAACCACCAGATGCGCTGGCAACACAACCACCAAGATGCCTACAGTCAATTTTGTTGTGAGTCAATGCCATACGCCCTAGTAGAAATATGTGGGGAATGTGCGTTAGCACCTGAAGTGTGCAGCAGCTCCACCCTGGAGGCAGCACCATGACTACTGTTGTCTGTGAAGTAAGAAGAAAAGGAGTCAACAAGCAGAAGGTCAACAACAAGGTAATCCTAGGCTACCACCCTGAAGACTGCAAACAAGCTGCATGTCCAGTCCTAAACAGTTTTATTCAAAATTAGCATTAGGAAACCTTTCGCCCTCTAAATGTGGCTGAGCTACAAAGCCCATCAGTCTCAGTAAACGTGGTCAATGGTCAGGGATGATAGTACTTGTAGTTTATCAACATCTGGTGGGCAAAACATTCCCCACACCTGCTCCAAATTAAATCCCACTGTAGTCAAGAGTTAGGATTGCAACCTGTTTCTTCTTTGGCGATAGCTGCTCTGCTTACTTTTTGACAATCCCCTGAGGATTTTTTGAAGAAGAAATTTGCATAGCGACACCAGGTGGTGTTTATAGGCTGCATGGAGGGAAAGCTTAAGCTAGATGGCAGAGTATGCGAGGAACCCCTTCTGCACACCTAAAGGACTCCTGATAATGTCCCAAGAGGTTATAAGTGGATTAAAGAGCAAACTACTGTTCATAAAGTTGTGGTGCAATGTGTTTTTGTGTGTTTTTTAAAGCCTGTGCGGAGTATTTTCCATTAAACTGAAGCACAATAATCTTCCTTTAATACCGTAATCTTTTGATCTTTTGGGCTTTGATTTCTCGATAGCCACATCAAACAACCAAATGAAAAAGGTTGTTCTCACTGGTGAAAATGTTGCCTTTGTGCCACATAAATGCAAAGCATCTCCCCTTTCAGCCCCTCTTGGCAGAAAGAATGTCCAAAAATGGTTATGCTACGTTGTTAACAAAAGAAAACAGCAACAGTGTGTGGTTAATAGGATTATTCCTTTCAAGTAAAGGGTTGAACAGTGGTTGTCAACATGGTGCCTTCCAGATGTTGCTGGACTACAACTCCTATCATCCATAACTTTTGATCCTTCTGGCTGGAGCTGATGGGATGTGGAATCCAACAGCATCTGGAGGGCCACAAATTTCACAAATGTGCACTGTAGTCCACAGTATATGTGGGCCATAATTAATTTGGCAGACTCTAACGTGCCACGAGATTTACTTGTTGATTTTGCTGAAACCACTACAAATAGGAACTGACTCATGTTAGTGTGTTTTGTGCTATGCTCAGCAGTGGCCACTTCCTGTTACGAAGTGTTCAGTTTGGATGGAAGCCTGCAGTTCTCACATGCAATCCTAACACTCAGTTCTAGGGATTTTTCCACAGCGATGGCTGGATGTGCTCTGAAAGATGGCACCCCAAGTGTCGACAGGAAGATCAATCCCAAGTAAATTTATTATATCAAAAAGGGAATTAGCTTACTTCAGATGTAGAACAGAATCAATTGGAGAGTTTAAACAGAACAAGCCAACTATTTTAAAATAATGTCTGAGAACAGGTAGGAAAACTAGTATGGGGTCAGGAAGAAAAGGTGGGGAGAGGAATGTAATTTGGAAACTGTTATGTACTGAGTTGAATAGGATCCAAACTGCAGCAGTCTGATTGGTCCTAGAACAATAGGATCCAAAATGCAGCAGTCTGATTGGTCCTAGAACAATGCAGCAGTGTGATTGTTTGGCAGGAACCACCCAATCATGCTCCAGATAGAAGTGAATCCACAACCTGATTGGCTTACAGTAGAATTCCGGAAATAGCCAATCATGTGCAGCCCATTGTGTAAATAATGTATATAAAGCAGATACTCTGAGGGGACTTTCATTCATTCCTCCTCGCCACTATGAACTGAATAAAGAGCATGAAATCACTTTGCGACTCTGAGTATATTTCAGAAACAATTATATCTCACACAACTAGCAAAATTTATGATGGGCTGGATGGGCTTCCCTGGCAAGGGCCTTCACCAAGTACCCTTTGCCATGACTGAAAAGGCCCTGATTTCTGTGCCCAGCCAGGCCGTTTTCAGGATACTCCATTCCAACTACCAGAGCTCCAGTTCTGCAATGGCACAAAGGTTTTTCTGCAAAGTAGTTCTGCAAATCTGGAGTTCCTCCCCCAAACATGTCCTCCTATTTTGCATTAGCCCTGTTTTGGATACCTAGCCATCACAACAGATTTCGAATACAGTGGTACCTTGGGTTAAGAATTTAATTCGTTCTGAAGGTCTGTTCTAAACCTGAAAGTGTTCTTAACCTGAAGCACCACTTTAGCTAATGGGGTCTCCCGCTGCCGCCGGCCCGCTGCTGTGCGATTTCTGTTCTCATCCTGAGGTAAAGTTCTTAACCTGAGGTACTATTTCTGGGTTAGCAGAGTCTGTAACCTGAAGCGTATGTAACCTGAAGCGTATGTAACCCAAGGTACCACTGTACACACACACAGTGCTTTTTTTCTGGGGGTACGCATACCCCTAAACATTTTGTTGAAGGGACAGGATACCCAAATCCTGTCTGTGAAATCACCCCAGGCCTCAAAACTGTCCAAAACTCCTTTTGTCTTCTAAAAATTCAAAACAGCTTTTCTCTGCTCTCCTCTGCTCTATCACAAGATGCTGTGGCAAAAGGCAAAATGTTACTTTTAAAGGCTAATGAATAGACTCTGTCAGAGCAGGCCTGAGACTGACTTTTATCTCATTCGGTTGCAACACCTTGGACATGCTGAACCACCAGGGCTCCTCGACCCACCCCCTCGGCTTCTCATCCCCCCTTTCCTGCCAAGAGTCCACAATAGTCCCAAGACAGCTTTCTGTTCATGCTCAGAGGAACCTCAACAGGGGCAGGACTCTGAAAGAAGGAGGAGAAAGGGGACGGATCTGGAATGGGTATATATGCTTGTGCGCATGATTGTGAACTCGCGCATGCTTTTTGTGACTTATCACACTTGCTCCTTGTTCATGGATGGTAGAAATAAAAGCCTTTTCTCCGAAACTATTCCTTGAGTGTCTCTTGACTCCCACTTCCCTTTCCCAGGCGCAATATTTTTCCCACCCGAGGGCAAAGCCTCATAAGGCTACATTGTGAATTTAAGTTTGGCCTCATTGAGGGGCAGTATTTCAGTATGATAGGAAAAGGAGAGTATCCCTAAACATTTCTTTAGTAAAAAAAGTGTGTGTGTGCATTTTAGAATTACGTTTCCCCAGAGCACATTTTATGGGTTATAGTTGGAAACGTTAGGACTTTATAGTGTCGCGCCCAGGCTGCCATCTTCTGCTGACTTCGCTGGCAGCAAACCCTACTGAATTTAGTGAGGTCTACTCTCGAGTAGACAAGTGCCTTTGGACATAGCAGGACTTGCACCTGGACCGTTCGGTGTTTTTTTTAATTTTTAAACGCAACCCCCAAGCACGATCACAAAGCACCATTGAAAGCTGAGAGGTTTAAAAATATATTTGGTTCAGGGCCGAATCAAACCCTACAAGCAATCTTGTGGCGTCCCCTGAGGGGATTTACGGGAATCCCAGCCGCTTCCAGGAAACTCAGGGCCCACGAGGGTGCGGAGGGGAGGAATGTCCCTTCGCGCTCCAGGTTCGCTTTCCATTCCCCTCAGACGCCTCAGCAAATTCCGCCCGTGAGCTGAGGAGAATCGAAAGCGTAGCCCAGGCGGCCGCTTGCCGCGCATGCGCGTAGATCCTTTTCTCTCTCGTCTCCCGCAACCTTCGCCATCTGCGTCGAGCGCCGCCTCACGCCCGCTCTCCTTCCCTCCAGTCCTTCCCTCCAATCGGAGGGACGGAAAGCGGAGCGCGAGCCCCTGTGACGTCAATTCCTGACTCCAGAGGAGGACGAGGGGAGAACGCGCGCGCGCGCGCTGCTCGTCGCGCGACGTCTCCGGCACTCCACCAACCCCACGCGCCCTCCGCTGCCGAGGTTGCGGAACCAATTGACGGAGACGCCGAAAAGCCCCGCCTCCTCCTGGCGGTGACCTCACAGCTCTTTATCTGTACCGTCCCTCCCGCCACTCTGGGGACGGCGTCCAATCCAGGGCGGGGATGGCGGCGGCGGGGCGGTCCCTCGGCCCTCCGTGACGTCTGTGGCCCCGCCCCCGCCGCCCGGCTGCCCCCTGAGGCGCTTGGCAGCGGGCAGCGAAAGCGAGTCAGTCAGCCAGTGGCAGTCCGCCTGCCTGCCTCGCGGCGAAGCCCCTGTTCCGCGTCCTCCTCCTCCTTCCCCATTCAGCGGCTCGCGGGGGTCGTCGTGCTTCTCCGCCCTCAGCCCCCCGAGCAACATGGAAAGTGCGGCGGGGGGAGCCGAGTTCAACATTCTCCTGGCCACCGACTCCTACAAGGTTGGGGGCGAAGCGGGAGGGAGGGAGAGAGGAGGGTCTGGGGCCGGAGGGGGAGGCCGGGCGGGCGAGGGGCTCCCCTGTGGCCCCTTCGGGAGGGAGGCTGGCTGGGCTCCCCCCTCCTTCCAGGCTCCTTTCTGTTTCGTGTTCCTGCCTCGCACCCCGCCCTCGCCAGGCCAGGCACCGGGCCAGGACGGGGCTGGGGCTGCCTGCATGGCGAGGGGGCCCCGGAGCTACTACGTGTGGTGCTGCTCGCAGGCCATGCCCACATGCAGGAGGCTGTGAGGGGGGTGGGAAAGCCGCCCCGCTTGGCCTTTGCCCTTCTCTCCTGCGCGCGCTCTTTCATCGGGCTCGCCTCCGTTTATGCAATGCAAAGCGCAGGCTGAAGCTTGCGGTCCTTTGTACACTTGGCTTGCTAGCTCGCCTGCAAGGGGCTGTTTTGTTTTTGGAGGGCACAATTGTCAGCTCTGATGGCCATTGGAGTCCGGCGGGGGGGGGGAGCTGTTCCCACCTGCCCACCCCATTGAATGTATTAAGTAGTATATAATTTTAAGGGAGAAGGGAGCGAGCGACAGTGAAGCTCCTTGCTTCTTTTGGAGTGCAACATCTCTCCCTCCCTCCCATATCCTTACGGGTTTATCATCCACACATGCTGATATAGGTGGAGGGTGGGCAGGAGACACTGGCTTTACTCCTTCTGCCCCCCTCCCTTTATGCTTTGTGCTGAGAAGCTTCTAGTACGTAATAGGCAGAGAGAGAAAAGGGGGCAAGATAGAAAGTGACACCTGTGGCATGGAGGAGATGCCTCCCCACTGTAACTCCTACTGCACTTGGCTCTTTCATCTCACTTCCAAATTCTTGCAGGGGGAATGCAATGATAGTGAAACACCTGCCTCCTTCACTTACTAGACTTGTGGGAAGCGCTAATTTTAGTTCTCTGGTGGCAGGAAAGGGAGTGTTTCTGAGGAAAGGTAATCTTTGCAGGCAAACTGACTTAACACTTATCTGATAGTGGAAGTACCAGGTTTCTGTGTGGGAAAGAACCTGATCAAAGTAAGCGTGCTGTTTGCTTTTTATCAAGATAGTAGATTCTAGCTACTCATCTGTACAGAACTTAACAGCTCTGAAAGCGTCACTTATACTATTGGTATTTCCTATACTTTTGGTATTTCCTAACTGTTACAACAACAGTACAGTGTTGTAGAAAAACAAAAAAGAGGAGGTTAGTAAGAAAAGATAAGGAAGTTAAGCTCTTCCGGCAAGGTTTTAAATCACAGGGTTTTCGTTTGGACTCATTACTGGTTTAGCTATCCTTCAGCATACATATATTTGTTTCTTAGCAAGACCTGCCTTTGGTGCATAAATGGTTGGATTATAATTACAGTAGTGATAGTACTACCCAAAGTTTAATTCTGTTACACATTTGTCAGTCTTTAAAAACTTGGAGCTGTATATGGTGGTAGATCAAGCATTGTGAAACTGAAACCGTTAAACCAGTCATACAGTTGTTACTGATGATAAAGCATTAAAATAGCCACATTGATTTCAGGGGGAAGTTCTTCTTGCGGGAAACTATGACCAATTTATGGAATTAAAATAAATGATAAATGGAAATAATTGGCTTAAAATTATAATTTCAAATGATGCATTTGATTCAGATTTGCTGTAGTGATTTACCTGCTGCAGGCAGATATCAGTGTAATTTGCAATGTAATCCTTTACATGTCTACTCAGAACTAAACCACATTGAGTTAAGTGCAACCTCATAGGTGAGTGAGTATAGGATTGCAGCCTTAATTGCTAGATTGTGCCCTGCTAGAAACAATGACTAGCTTTTACGGGAATAGCAGTGAAAGAGATCCTTCTGTTATGTATAAGGAGTCTCCTAATCTTTGCCCAAGAGACTTTGTCATTTAACAGTAAATGAAAGCAATTCAGAGAGAGCCTTATGCTACTATAGTATCAAATAGCAAAGGTTGTTTAAATCATGCTTTCAAGCGTTCAAAGCACTTCATCTGTATTTAGCTGTAATCCTTACCAGCAACCCTATAAGGTAAGTCAGTATTGCTAGGCCCCCAGATTGCAGCTGGACTCAAAAGAGAGAGGCAGCTAGATGCCTGTGGGCATCTAGTGAATTCAGAGTGAAGACTAGATTTGAATGGAGGACTTTCTAATTTCAGTTAGTCTTGTTTACTTACAGTACCCCTGTAATCCCTGCCTTAGCAATCTTCAATAGCCTTGTACAAAGCCCTACACTGGTTACTGCTAAGAGTCTAGTAGCCTTCTTTCCATGTTGACCCTGAAGGAAGGAGAGCCTTTCACCAGTAACCAGCAGACTGCCAGTAAAAAGAGCCCACTCCCAAGTGAATTGCTGAAGGAGTGATGGACAGATCCCTCCAACCTCCACCAGCCTGATCACTTGCCTGCATGGAATTCTTGGTGGCTGGTGGCTATTGGAGAAATACAGTGGTACCTCGGGTTAAGTACCTAATTCATTCCAGAGGTCCGTTCTTAACCTGAAACGGTTCTTAACTTGAAGCACCACTTTAGCTAATGGGGCCTCCCACTGCTGTGCGATTTCTGTTCTCATCCTGAAGCAAAGTTCTTAACCCCTGGTAATATTTCTGGGTTAGCAGAGTCTGTAACCTGAAGCGTATGTAACCTGAGGTAGCACTGTATTGCTGAAGGTTTTTTCCACTTGCTGTGTATTGCCTTGATGTACTCGTCCAACATTGTCCAATATCTTGTCCAACATTTGCTTCTGAAGCAAGTGTGCTAGTAACCTGACTGTACGCTTATTACATAGAGGAATGCTGAACCCCACAAGTGATCTGATTTTATTTAGGTAAAGGTAAAGGGACCCCTGGCCATTAGGTCCAGTCGTGACCGACTCTGGGGTTCATCTCGCTTTATTGGCTGAGGGAGCCGGCGTACAGCTTCCGGGTCATGTGGCCAGCATGACTAAGCCGCCTCTGGCGAACCAGAGCAGCACACAGAAACGGCGTTTACCTTCCCGCGTTTACCTATTTATCTACTTGCACTTTGATGTGCTTTCGAACTGCTAGGTGGGCAGGAGCAGGGACCGAGCAACGGGAGCTCACCCCGTCGCGGGGATTCGAACCGCTGACCTTCTGATTGGCAAGTCCTGTGGTTTAACCAACAGCGCCACCCACGTCCCACTGATTTTATTTATAGCAGACCTAATTGCAGTTCAGACAGATTCGTCAGCCTCTACTATCTAGAGAGGGAGATAGTTATGAATAAAGGATGGAAGGGAAGCAGTACGTTGTGTGTGTGTGTGTGTGCAGATGCTTAGGGAATTTTGAATTCTGATCTGAGGTGACCTGATCTGCACCCCCACAGCTGACTGGAACTTAGTTATCCACCAGCGTTTGCACTTTCTGAATGTTTCTGACAAAGTTTTCAGCACAAAAAATGCTCATTTTAATAGAAAATTGGTTTAGAAATCTATTTGAAGATAACACATTTGAACATGTGTATTTAAATAGCTGTTTAACATGACATTTGTCTAAAATGTAGAATGTGGAAATGGTGTGGGCTTATGAATGAAGAAATGTGAAAATTGCATAGACATTCAAATTAGAGAATTTCTGTGTATATGCACTAGTGAAGATTTATCACCAAAGACATTTCATTTGTACAGACCTTTGGATGGAGGCTAAGAAACTTGTAGAGTGCATGTGTACTGATCATTTTAAAAAACGTGCTCCAAACAGCTGCCTGAAAGGCAAAATAGAGGCAATTGGCATTTTAACCTTCGTACATGTACCAGTATATAGGGACAATTAAAAATTAATGTCGGTGTGCCATAAACAAAAAACCCCCAAACAAATGGTTGCCCTATGGACCTTACAGTCTAAATTTTTACACTGGGAAGGCAACATGCAGCTAATATGAGGTGATAAATGTTTTAGAGGGATCTGAAGAAGATCTATAAAAAACACTTTATAGATGTTCTTGGAGTTGCTTAAAATTTAAAAGTAAGCTTATCCAAGTTTATTATTGATTGCATTTACATTCCACTTTTTCCTCCAAGAGCTCAAGATGATGGTGTACATGGTTCTCTCCCTCTTCATTTAGCCTGGTGAGGTAGTTGAGATCAGATAGGCTAGGCTGAGAGTGATAAGACTGGCCCAGTGTCACCCAGCGCACTTCATGGCCAAGTGGGAATTTGAATCCTGGTCTTCCAGGTACTAGTCCTACATTTTAATCGCTATACCACACTGGCAGTCTTTTATTTTCCTGCACAAAACTTAAGCAAGCATGTTAAGTTCATCACTGAAAGTCAAGCAAGGATGTTGGTTGAACTCCTTTAGCAAGAGATTGCCGCAAAATCAGACCTGCCACTGTGAAGGCCCTGCTCCTTTCACAAGTCACTAGCACTCAGAGCAGGACTTCCATTTTAATGGGTGGAAAGACTGTGCAAAGTCTTTAGCTGTGGGTTAAAACACTTGCATTGCGCCAGAAAACTCACGGGTTGCCATTGTGATTAACACAAAGCAGGCGTTACATTCACGGTGCCTTTTCCCAGTTGAACAGAGAAGCTGCCATGTTCTCCACTAGCTGGACCTTTCAAATACTTTGGAAGGGAAGCCGCATAAGTGTTGGGTGGATAAGAACACAAAGTTTGGCGCTGTGTTACCTTGGAAGAGCATTTGTGAGACATCTTGCTCATCTGATTAGAATGCTTTTCCTTTTAATATGTCGACTTTGTTGATGGAAATAAGTGATTGTGATTCAGAGGAAATATAAGACACTAAACTAAACACATTACCTGGTTACAGATGACCTCAATTTCCCAAGATTTATAAAATTTTGTAGTTTGGGTTAAACCAACTCGCTGGCATACAGCAGCACATTTATTATTTATTTGAAACATGTTTGCCCCAATCTTTTGCAAAAAAGGGTTCCAGAGTGGCTTACGAAGATCAGTAGGAAAATAGTAAAAAGGTAAAGGTACCCCTGCCCGTACGGGCCAGTCGTGACCGACTCTGGGATTGCGTGCTCATCTCGCTTAAGAGGCCGGGAGCCAGCGCTGCCCGAGGACACTTCCGGGTCACGTGGCCAGCGTGACGAAGCTGTTCTGGCGAGCCAGCACCAGCGCAGTGCACGGAAACGCCGTTTACCTTACCGCTATAAAGCGGTACCTATTTATCTATTTGCACTTAGGGGTGCTTTCGAACTGCTAGGTGGGCAGGAGCTGGGACCAAACGACGGGAGCTCACCCCACCGCGGGGATTCGAACCGCCGACCATACGATTGGCAAATCCTAGGCACTGAGGTTTTACCCACAGCGCCACCCGCGCCCCAGGATAATAGTATCTGCCTTCAAAATGACAGTCTGAAAGATGTGACATACAAGGGAAAGCCGTTGGGGAGGGAAGAGAGAAAAAGTAAGCTCACGAAAAAGTTCTGAAAGTTACAGTTCTTAAAACAACCAGCTAGAATGGAAACAGTTCAGATAGCCTCATTACCTTCTGTGGCAGGCCCTAAGCAGTGGAATTGTCTGTGACTGTCACCTTAATTGTATAGTTTGTGTTGTACACTGAAAAGACATTTCATCGCCCCTGATCCTTGAAATATAGATATATATGAAATATATGTATTTTACTACCCACCTCGTTCTTGATTATAACCTGTTTTAGCCATTCGTAGTATTGCATAATGATCAGTGCCATGAAGCTTTTAATATAAGCTGCATAGTGCTCATTATTTGGCATCACATTCCAGACTGAAAAATACTTCTATTCACATTCAAGGAAACTCCCTTGATATGGAGCTAATTTTACTAGGCATCCAGGCTTTAATTTGCTGAGTTCCTGTCTGTTTTTGCACTAAAAACACTCTTCTAGATTCTGCAACTGGAATGCTGTCTAGTTCAGAGAACAATGTGCAGGCGTACATAGTCCTGCCTGAAAAAGTGTTTAATCAGAATTTTTGCAGAGTTTTGGAAAGCTTTAAAAAATATTCATATGTTTTTAGTCCTGAGAGGTTCCATATCACTTTACATAGTTCAAGTAAGTTTAGGATGCAAGATTTAAAAGTGAACATAGTAGTTCCCCGATCAGAAAACTAAATCCAAAAAGATACTGTTTGCTATCCAGAAAACATCTATGGTGTAGTGTATGGACATTAAGTTTTTCAAGCAAAGATAGGCTTGGTTTGAGCATCACACTAAACCATACATTAAAAGGAAGGTGCTCCAAAGCTCCCATGTTAGTCCTCAGCTCCTGCCGCCACTGTGCTGCTTATGAAACACAGCAGAGTCTGGCTTTGGTTGTCCATACCCAGGCTCATAGTTTGTTTCTCTGCAAACGTACATGAGTGTCAAACCAGTTTGGTCCTGGCTCACTACTCTGTGGTTTATTTGACAGAAACATACACTGAGCCTGGGTTCAGATGATTCAACAAGATGCTTTGTTCAAGGTGTAAAGGCAGCAGGAGTGGTTACTTTTGAGTAGCACCATGGTCTATGGGAAGTGTGAGGAACATGTAAGCAGCGCCATGATTTAATGTGATATGTGAACCATAGAATGTAGTGAAAGAGCTTTCTTATCAAGTGTTTTCAGTTTAGGCATATTCCTTAGAGTAAGACCTGGGTGTGACATTTAATCTTCAAATATGGCACTAAACAAAAAATTCCAGACCTTGTGGAATTCTTAAAACTTTTAATAGCATTCCAACAAACCTTCTGATCTGTTATTTCAGAGAAAGGTTGCTGGTGTTAGCTGTGGACTGCAATTCAACCAATTGTTGTAGCAAATGCTACCTTTGGAGATGACGGAACAAAATAATTCCCCATTTTGTTTGTTTAATAAATTCGTGTCCTGCTTGTAGGGCTAAAGCAAACTCTTTAGAGTGGTTTGCTTAAATTAACTCTAAAATTATGAAGTTGTTTACACATTGTAATACGCCAGTAATTCAAATTTAGGATTTTTAGAATTAAAAAATCTGACTGAAAATATTTTCACTATATTAATTATTTTTTTACCATTATCAAACATTCCCTTGCAGTGTTGGAAACCCAAATATTACAGCATTGTGCTGGTGTGTCAGAAACAGAGAGTGAAACTGACCAGTCTAAGAGAAATGCAAAAAAAATAAAAAAGCATAAATGGTGGAAAGGAAATTTGACTTTTAAAAATCTTTTAATCTACAGCTTTAGTTTGCAGGTAAGGGAAAAATAAAATGCTTTTGTCTTGAAAATGTCAGAAGTACATATTTTAAAGTAAGCTGGGAAATCTTTCTCAGAAGAGGTGCCATCAAAATGATGTTCTGTGTGTAAAATTATCCCATTTTAATGTCTTACTATAGATTTGTTTTAGTTTCAATAGAACGTTAGCAGAGTCATTTATTGAAAACTGTGTTGATCAAAGTATCAATCAAAGCTCTTATTTTTTCTTAAGCTTCCCGTAATTTTATAATCACTTATAACATTGTTGCAATTGAGGGGGGAAATATTCTGTACCATGTCATTCATTACCTGTGGTGTCACTAATGTGGACAATACAATTTGGTTAATCTTTCTTCCCCTGCTTATATGGAGTTCTTATGTGTAGCCGTGCAATTTCCCCAGGAAGCACACGATTGACAGGTGAAGTTTAAAAGGAGCTTGTTTATAGACAAGACAAAGCACTTTATAATTGCTGTGCAAGTAAAAAACACGCAACTGCACATGGTGGTGGGTGTTGAGATCATACGGATCTTCCACCAGAATAACTGGTTGCAAGCAATGCTTGAAACATTCAGTTTGTGCTTGAAGGAAATCTTCTAATAAGGACAGCAAAAATCCTGCAGATCACAGACATTGCAGATCACTGACACCTCTAAAGTCAGGCTCCTATACTAGGTTTGACACTGGAGCCCCTAAGCAAAAATTAACCAAACATGTCGCTTTTCGCATTTGTTCAGAATTCTGGTCAGTTTCACTTCTCAGTTATGGAAAAGTTGTTAGATAAGGTAGAAAAGGAACCCCATAGGTAATATAGTAATGGACATTTTTGCTTGGTCAGCTGGAAACTGGACAGACAAAGGGATGTCTGGTTGGAAATCGTCTGTTCGATATGCTACAAAAGAAGCAGAGTGCTAAACTGCTCCTTATTTTCCAAATCCTGGAAAAGCTGAACTACTTCATGCTTGCCAAGCTGAGCTGGAGGTTGAAGGGTGAAAGTGATCCTCACTACAATGTGTATGGCACTGTCAAAGCTTGTTTGGATAACCATTTTGTATGTGGTGAAATTTTTCTTACCCAAGTTTTTCTCATTTTAGGTGACACATTATAAACAATACCCACCCAATACAAGCAAAGTTTATTCCTACTTCGAATGTCGTGAAAAGAAGACAGAAAACTCTAAATTCAGGAAGGTGAAATATGAGGAAACGGTTTTTTACGGGTTGCAGTACATTCTTAATAAATACTTAAAAGGTATTTCATGTTGGAATTTTAAATAAAATCACTCATCCATTCTTTAACTTCACAACCTTTTTCGTGGCTCCTTTAAGCAGGAGCAGCTATGAAGATGTCTTCATAAATGATAAACTATCAAAGGGTAATATTGTTTGATGCTCTTGTAACTTCTGAATTAATTGCATTCATACACTGTAAGGAGTTGCCTTGCAGTGAAAGAGAAAATGGTCTGCCTTGCTCTATAGTAATATCTATTTATACCAAGTTACACTTATCTCTAATGGTTGACTTAATTTAAGACTTAAGTCAGGGGTGTGTGACTGGATATGGTCACTGGATCCTATTGTTGTTTCCTCCACCCCTCACGGGCCAGGAAGAACTTTCTGAGAGTAAGAGCTGTTAGACTGTGGAACTCTCTTCCTCAGAAGGCAGTGAACTCTGTTTCCTTGGAGGTTTTTAAGCAGAGGTTAGATGGCCACATGTCATGGATCCTGCAGTTGAGATTCCTACATAGCTGGGGGTTGGACAAGGTGCTTTCCAACACTGCAATTCTATGACTCTACAACATATTTATTAAAAAATATTGATAAAATCAAATGCTCATTCTCTGCTGACCTTTCAGCAGCAGGCAAAGACGTTTTATTCAAGAGTGATGGCCTTTGGCCTTATAAGCTGAAAGGTATGGCCTCAGTAAATGCTGCAATTCCTTCAATTTCTATTCTATTCTTCAGTTTCTATTTATATGTTTGGTGAGAAGGTGGCATACAAATGTAACAACATTTGAATGCAGTTTAATGATTACCAAACACAATCTTTGCACAGAATCTAATTTTAAAAATTATTCCCAAATATGATAGTGTAACTTGGCAAAGCATTTTATGGAAGTACTTTACATTCTTCCATAATGTAATAATTCTTCCAATACTTTACAGCAGCTAGACTGGTGACTGGGAGTGGCCGCTGAGACCAGATAACACCGGTCCTGAAGGACCTACGTTGAATTGTGCCCGGAAACTTACTGGGAACCAAAGTGTTGGTGCTGACTTTTAAAGCCCTAAGTGGCCTCAGCCCAGTATACCTGAAGAAGTGTCTCCACCCCAATCGTTCTGCCCGGTCACTGAGGTCAAGCTCTGAGGGCCTTCTGGTGGTTCCCTCACTGCGAGAAGTGAAGTTACAGGGAACGAGGCAGAAGGCCTTCTCGGTAGTGGCACCCACTCTGTGAAATGCCCTCCCACCAGATGTCAAAGAAATAAACAACCATCTGACTTTTAGAAGACATCTGAAGGCAGCCCTGTTTAGGGAAGTTTTTAATGTTTGATCTTTTACTGTGTTCTTAATATACTGCTGGGGAAACCAAGCCAGATGGATGGGGTATAAATAAATTATTATTATTATTATTATTATTATTATTATTATTATTTTATTATTTTTATTTACATGTGGAGCTGTCTGGTTTATCATATCAGCTTCTGCAAGTACAGTGATGATAATATATATCTCTATCACCTGGGTTAGGGTCATCATTTTGTCACTGGCATGCAGCCAGGTTGTCATTTTCTTGATTTATATTGATCAGCATAGTGTCTAGAGACCCAGTCTGAAGGAAAAGCTTTCTGTTTGCTATGGGATGTAATGGTAATCTAAGATTTACTATGTGACAACTGCAACTTTCATTCGAGTACATGAAATCGCTGTCAGACTCATCTGATTGCAACCAATAAGTAGAGATAAGCACGCTGTTTTTGCTGGTACATTAACTGGCTATTTGATTTACTCTATGTCCTAATTGTAAATCATTCATTGCACTTTAAGCAATGGAATCTGTTGTTGAGTAAGTAGTGTTTACAATCTGGATGCACCCAGCCCAATCTGTGGCACGTTTACTTGGACATAAAGGTAAAGGTACCCCTGCCCGTACGGGCCAGTCTTGCCAGACTCTAGGGTTGTGCGCCCACCTCACTCAAGAGGCCGGGGGCCAGCGCTGTCCGGAGACACTTCTGGGTCACGTGGCCAGCGTGACATCGCTGCTCTGGCGAGCCAGAGCCGCACACGGAAACGCCGTTTACCTTCCCGCTGGTAAGCGGTCCCTATTTATCTACTTGCACCCAGGGGTGCTTTTGAACTGCTAGGTTGGCAGGCGCTGGGACCGAACGACGGGAGCGCACCCCGCCGCGGGGATTCGAACCGCCGACCATGCGATCGGCAAGCCCTAGGCACTGAGGCTTTTACCCACAGCGCCACCCGCGTCCCCTTACTTGGACATATATCCTACCAATTTCATCAGGTCTTCTCCCAGCAGCAGCCCAACAATGCAACCCCTTTGCATGTCTACTCAGACCTGCTCCATTGATTTAATAGGGCTTGCCTTCAGGTAAGTGGTATAGGACCGCAGGCCTGCATGGTCCTAGAGAGAACGGCACTAGCCGTGGCCAAGAAATCCCAATTTTTGCATAGTTTGGTTAGTTTGTTTCCCCTCAGGACTTCCATAAATGGCAATGCCCAACCAACTTTTAGAACATATTCTTATGATTCAGTATTTTTTTGTAATTGTTATACATCTTTTAAAATTTTTCACCATAGGCAAAGTGGTAACCAAAGAGAAAATCCAGGAAGCCAAAGAGGTATACAGGGAACACTTTCAGGATGATGTCTTCAACGAAACTGGCTGGAACTACATCCTTGAGGTAAAAAAATAATAATGAACACTTCAAATGTGAAGACACAAACACACTAAACTGCCTAATATTATCTGGTATTAACTATGTGGTTGTAGCTGACAGATGCTTAGCTTCAGTCTGATGGGAATAGCATAGCTACTCTGTTGCTATTGGTTTTTGTGGGTTTTGGTTTTTTTAATAGTTCATAGAGCAATGCAATGCCTATCCTTTACTGGGAGTTGTTCCTGCACACAAAAATATGTGGGAATTGAGCTTGAGGTGTTTTTTTTGGGGGGGGGGGAATCCATATAGAATTGACAACTGACACATTTGGAAAGAGCATTATAATCTTGTTCTATACCTTTTAACTGGTAGTATAGGAAAACCAGTTGTTTTTTACAATATTATATTAATTTAAATTCAGAGGTGAGTTGAAACTGGGCAACATGTTGATGCACCAGCAATTTTTCGGTGCCCTTCTAAGGAAGCTTACCCCACAGTTTGAAGGTACAGCCTTAAATTCCCTTGTGAAATCACTTGCTTTTAAAGCGGCACTGTGACTCATGCACAAGTTCTGCATGTGAGCTAAGCTTTGCTAAATTTAAGTTAAATCAATTATAAGCATTGTAACTGAAAGAAGAAAAAGTAGTGTTTTTTGAATCAAATTTGAAAGTTGTGTAGCTTTGTACTTTGATTAACCCCCATTTAAAGGAATATACTGTCAAATAAAAAAAAAACCCTCATGGATACAAAACCTATTTTTCACCCAGTGAAAAAGTCTTCAACCCCCTTTCCCAATAATTATTGTATCTGTTTACAGAAGTACGAAGGTTGTCTTCCCATAGAAGTCAAGGCTGTTCCTGAGGGCAGTGTCGTTCCCAGGGGGAATGTGCTCTTCACGGTTGAAAACACCGATCCGGACTGTTACTGGCTCACAAACTGGATCGAGGTAATTAATGAAAAATTATCTCTGTGATTGATGATAACTTTCTAGCTAATTTGCTTTATTTTCAACATGTCCTGATCATATATTTGAATCTGTCGTTTAAAGACGTCATTCTGCCCTTTGATATGAGGAAACACATAATTAAATACAAGTTGTGCTAATTGTACTGCGTTCCATGTGCTTTTAGACTACACTGAAAAGGCATTGGTTTATTCCTTTTCCCAGATGTATGTAAGGCAGCTTGTATTTCTTACTGATCGGCTCACAAGCTGCTTAATCAAGTTTCCCAGGGGTACGAGTTTTAAGATTGAAGCTATGTGTCTCCTGTTTGGTATAAAGTGGTGCCAAGGCATCTTTTATGCAGAAGAGAGCCTGTGCTGTGGGTGCATGGTTCCACCTCTCCCTTCTGTCCCCAAAGGGGCAACTGGTTCTTTAGAGTGTCACTATTTCCCCCATCTCTTTATGCTAAAACTATATCAAGCACATCTGTAAAAGCTTGTTGGCGAAGAAAATCAGGTTTGGAAGGCCTGTATAAATAAAAGTTTTCAGAAGATGTCTGAAGGCAAGCAGGGATGATTCCTGCTGAACCTCTATTGGCAAGGAGTTTACAGGGCAGGGCCTGCCACGCTAAAGGCCCAGTTCCTTATAAAGGCCAGATGAACCTCAGGGTCTTGGGGAGCACCAAAAATGCCCCACCAGAAGACCTCAGCATTTGAAGTGGAGCAGTAAGGAGTCAGGCAGTACTTTGGACCCAGTGGAGTAGCATCTTGCCAGTAGCTGCAACTTCCAGACCAGATACAAGGGTGAGCCTCACATAAAGTGCATTGTAGAAATAGAGCCTTGAGTTTTCCATGACTTACTAGGCTCCTATCACAACCACCATCTTTTGCCATCCTTTCCTCCTCCCAAACTAAGTGAAATTAAGCCCAGTGGTGCTTATTTCTCCACAGATGGAATATTTGTTGTGGGATGATGGAGGTATATTTCTGTAATTACTTCTTAAATGTCTGTGAATGGGTTTGAAAACCTTTAATACTTCAAGAGTATTTCCAAACTTTGAAAGTTGCCAATAGAAACCTGAATTACCTTTGTGCATATATGAAAACTACCTGCCATATCTAATTTGAGTCTGTATTGTAGTTTCCATTTAGTGGAAAGGTTCATTTTCCCTATTGTATCTAGGAGTGGGTATCTTCACACTTACGCATGAAACATTTTCCCTCTTTATAGACTATTCTTGTTCAGTCATGGTATCCCATCACAGTGGCCACAAACTCCAGAGAACAAAAGAAAATCTTAGCAAAATATCTGCTAGAAACCTCAGGCAGTTTAGAAGGTCTGGAGTACAAACTACATGATTTCGGTTACAGAGGAGTCTCTTCGCAAGAGGTAATGCTATTTTTAAAAAAAGTATTGAAATTACATATTTTTCTTTCTTTCTTTCTTTCTTTCTTTCTTTCTTTCTTTCTTTCTTTCTTTCTTTCTAAAATTGGAATCCATAAACTTACACTGTATAATGTGTATTTCTTCTTGCAGCCTTAAATTCTTCAGTAATAGTCAATAAGTGTGGCACTTCATATCTTATTTACATTGTCCCGCATATATTAAGACCAAATGAAGAGAGTACTTATTAATGTGGAGTTACTCTGCTCTGAAATGGAATCTTCTAGGAACTGCCATTTTGGTTTTGCATGCCTGTAATTCATAATTGTGTCTTATTCTCAGACTGCAGGAATAGGAGCGTCTGCGCACTTAGTGAACTTTAAAGGAACTGACACAGTAGCGGGAATTGGTTTAATTAAGAAGTACTATGGAACGAAAGACCCTGTGCCAGGCCATTCAGTACCAGCTGCAGAACACAGGTATCTGTATTTCTTTGATGCATTGTATGTAGAAATCAAGTGTAGATTAGCTGAAGGTCTGGTCCTCTGGCATCTTTGAGGACCACGTGTCCTGTTGTTGTTTTTTTAAAAAGGAAGCACACACCTTGAACTCAAATTATTAAACAGTTCATTAACAAGTTGATAATTACAGACAAGCAATTATAGCTGTTGATTCTGCTTGTTTTATATGTTCAAATGTAGTAGCATTCAATTTTCTTTTTGACTCTGATTTTACATTATTTAATTAGACAGTAAATTCTTGCCTGAATTACCAGGTCCCAGGAAGATAGAAGTTTGATTCAGCAACTTTAATATGTAACATGTTTTTACAGCTTGTTCTTGCCATCTTTTTGTGATCTGAGCAATAACTATTAGAATAATTATTTAATGTGTCATAATTGGCAAGCTTGATATTTAGTTAATTAGAAACTGAGTACCTCTTTTGTCAGCATGTCCAATTTTTCCATCGCTGTCAAATGCTTCCACTACAATATAAAAAGCTTGGGTTTTTGGAGTGTTCCAGAGCAGAAAGTTTGAGTATGTATAGCACAGTGTGATGGGATGATGAGCTGCTTGTGCGTAAAAGCGTAGTCCCTCAGAGTCTGTGCACGTTCACAAACCTCTGTCTGTGACGGAGCCCCTCAGACATGGCTGCTCTAGTCACTTGCAGATTCCGACAGTGGTTGCTTTCGGAATCGTTTCCAGCATAAAAGCTCCTTAACGGAAACACGTCTTCTGGACTCACGGCGTGACAGTTTCCGGCGAGGCGTGGGTCTCCCTATGGGAGCTTCAGATACCTCCCCACTGTTCTCGCTGGAAGCGTCTCTGAGCCCTCCCTCCTGCTCGCATTCCCTCAGAGATCCACTCCTCCCCTGGCTGGTTCCTGCTTCAGCTGTTGAGTCTCTCCCAGCCTCCCTGAGCCCCTCCACCACCTGTTCCTCCGATGGCAGTTCCCTGACATCCACCTCCCCTCCAGGGCCCCCTTCACCCCCTCCCGTTTCCTCTCCTCTGGGAGGTGAGGAGGTAAAACCCCAAAAGGAATCTTCTTCATCTTCAGACGCCTCGAACATTTCCCTCCATCGGTCGCCGTCCCGGCTCGCTGAATCCTCCTCCTCCTCGGACTCTGTGAACCCCTCCAACTCCTCTTCTTCGTCGGTGGTGGCAAAGTATTCCCTCCGGAACCTCGCTACAGGCTGAGGCTTGCGTGGGAACCTCTGATGAAAAGTTTCTATTAAAACCTCGTCATTGACATCCTCTGCCCTGACCCAGGTGTTTTCCGACTCCGGTTCCCCTTCCCACATTACCAAATACTCTACTTGATCTCCCTTCCACCTGGAATCGAGGATCTCCGCTACATGGTAGCTTTGTTCCCTTTCCTCCATTGCTGGTCCCCGAGTGACCCTCCCTTCTCTGTCCCCTTTATACAGTGACAGCAATGACCTGTGGAAAAACTGGGTGCAGCTTCATGTGGTTCGGTAACCGGAGTCTGAAAGCCACTGGGTTGACCTGTTGTGTGATTTCAAATGGGCCCAATCTTTTGGGTCTTAACTTTTTACAACCCCCTTTGAAGGGTAACCCTTGGGTTGACAGCCACACTTGGTCCCCCACCCTAATGGTTTCACCTTCTCTCCTGTGTTTGTCTGCCTGCCTCTTATATTCCTCCTTGGCCCTGTCTAAGTTAAGTTGGAGCTGGCGATGGATCGCTTCCATTTCTTCTACGAACTGTTCGGCAGCTGGAACGCTCCATCTCTCCCCTTCCCCCCCTGGGAAAGCCCTGGGATGGCACCCGTAATTAGCCAAAAAGGGGCTCATCCCCGTGGACACGTTCTCCGCATTGTTGTAGGCAAATTCCGCCAATGCCAACTTCTCCACCCAATCATTCTCTCTGTCATTGACATAACACCTCAAATATTGCTGGAGGATGCCATTGGCTCTTTCCGCCTGCCCATTGGTCTCAGGATGCCGGGCAGTCGAGAAATTAACCTCTACCTGCAGTAAGCTCATGAGCTTCCTCCAGAACCTGGAAGTAAATTGTTTCCCTCGGTCAGAAACCACCCTCAAGGGGGCGCCATGCAACCTAAACACATTTTCTACAAACAATTTAGCTGTTTCTTCTGCCGTGACAGCATGTGAGCAGGCTATAAAGTGTGCCATTTTGGTTAACAGGTCTACCACAACCATGATGGCTGTTTTCCCTCTGGACCTTGGCAGATCAGTCATAAAATCTATGGCCACTGCTTCCCATGGTCTTTCTGGTGTGGGTAGCGGTTCTAATAACCCTGCCGGCGCCCGCCTTTCCCCTTTGGCTCGCTGGCATTGGTCACAACTCCTCACATACTCCCGCACGTCTTCCCTGACCTTGGGCCACCAAAATTCCCTGGTCACCAGCCACATGGTTCTGTGTTGCCCAAAATGCCCCGCTGTGGGGCTATCGTGCAGCTGCTTGAGTACCTTCCCCCTCAACTCTCCTTCAGGTATATATAACGCTCCCTTGTAGTACAACGCCCCGTTTCTCTCCTCAAAACCTCCGGGTTTATCTCCCTCCCTCCTGAGTCCCCTGAGTTTGTCCTGGGCGTATTCATCATTCTCCGTTCCCTCTACCAGTTCTCTTTGCCCCACCAATGCCGCCCCACACACCCAGCGGTCCTCTGGAATGACATGTCTTTCTTCGGGTGCTCCCTCCCCCTCCAAATATTCAGGTTTGCGTGAGAGAGCGTCCGCCCTAACGTTCTCTGGGCCTGGCACGTAACGAATCTCAAAGTTAAATTTGGAGAACTCCTGGGCCCACCTCAACTGCCGTTGGTTGAGCACTCGTGCCGTTCTCCAATACTCTAGGTTCTTGTGGTCAGTGCACACTTGCACCTTATGTTGTGCGCCAATTAGCAGGTGCCTCCATCTCCGAAAAGCCTCATGAATAGCAAGAAGTTCTCGATCGTACACCGTGTAGTTCCTCTCGGATTTGTTCAGCTTTCGCGAGAAAAAAGCACACGGCCTCCACTCTGACTCCTCCTTCCCTGGCTGCAGAAGAAGCACCGCCCCTATGGCTCTGTCTGATGCGTCCGTTTCGACTCTCATCTTTTTTTGTAAATCCACATGCAGAAGTTGTTCTTCAGAGGCGAAGGCCCTTTTTAGCTCCTCAAAAGCTCGCTCCGCCTCCTCAGTCCAAACGAATTTCTTCTTACTGCTGAGACAGTCCGTAATGGGCGCCGTCAGGTGGGCAAAGTTTCGGATGAACTTACGATAAAAGTTCCCAAACCCTAGGAACCTCTGCACATCCTTCTTTGTTTTGGGTGTTTTCCATTCCAGCACTGCCTGGACCTTGCCGGGATCCATGGCCAATCCCTTGTCTGACAGGCGGTACCCCAGGAACTCCACCTCCTTGGTATGAAACTGACACTTCTCCAGTTTCACCCACAGCCGGTTGGCTAGCAGCCTGCTCAACACTTCTCTGACGTCTCTTACATGTTGCTCCTCATTCTCAGAATACACCAACACGTCATCTAGGAAGGCCACACAATTCTTGTAAAGCAAAGGCCCTAGTACGTGGTTCATCAGCGATTGAAAGCACGCCGAGCCTGCTTGTAATCCAAATGGCATAACGAGATATTCAAATGCCCCCAAAGGGGTGAACATGGTGGTTTTCCATTCATCCCCTTTCCTTATACGTATCAGGTTGTACGCCCCCCTTAGGTCCAGCTTTGTAAAAATCTTTCCCTTCCGCACCCTGTTCAAAATGTCATCAATCCTGGGCATGGGGAAAGCCAGGGGCTCTGACACTGCGTTCAGGGCCCTAAAGTCACACACAAGTCTCGGCTTGTCCGTGTTTTTTTTATCCACAAAAAACACTGGGCTACCTCCCACCGCTCTTGACTCTCTGATGAAACCTCTCTTCAGGTTTTTGTCAATAAACTCTCTTAGCACCTGTATCTCTCTGTCTGACATGGCATACAACTTGCCTACAGGGAGCTGTGCCCCAGGCAGTAAATTGATTTGACCATCAAAGGGTCTATGCGGTGGTAATTGGTCAGCTTCCCTTTCGCTGAACACGTCGCTGAGATCTGCATATTGTCGTGGTACCTTCACTTTCTCCGTTACTTCCGTCCCTGCTAGGGTAGCTTGGGCTCCTGCTGAACCCTTTCCCTCCTTGCAGTGTTCTAAGCAATGTGCGGAGCCAAAGGAAACCACTCTCTGATGCCAGCCCACCAGCGGATCATGTAACGCCAGCCAGCTCATCCCCAAAATAATGGGAGCCCCTCCCAAGGTGGCCACATTAAACGCTATCAGTTCTGTGTGCCTTGCCACCTTCATTATCATTGGGACGGTCTGCAAGCTGACTTCTCCTCCCAACAGTTCCCTGCCATCGATCGTGGTCACCTGCAGGGGATTGCTTAAAGGGATCGTCCGTATCTGGTGTTCAGCTGCAAACTCTTTGCTCATGAAATTGCAGGAGCTGCCTGAGTCCAACAGCGCCTTTATCTTTAGAGGGTATCCGTTTTGCAACTCTAGTGACACTTCTATCACTAGGGCAGGTTTAGGAGGTTCTGGCGTGGGCACTTTCACTGCTCTTTGGCCTGGCTGCTGTGCCCCGACGGTGGCAGCCAGGCGTTGGCTTTTACTTGCTCCGGTATTTCCTCCACTCCTCCCTCCACAGCCCCCACCATCCCTTGCCATTCCTTCCTCTGGGGGCATACTCTGGCAAAGTGACCTGGCTGTTGGCAGAGATAGCATTTCCGGGCGCCTTTTCCCTCCTTCTTCCCCCCTTCACTGGGCTTTGAAACTGCGCGTGCGCGCGCTGTTCCGATTTCCATCGGCTCTGCCGGCGGGAAAGCTGGCTCTGGAATGTCTGGAATGCGGAACTCCTTGCAACGTTCCCCCTTCCCTTCCCGCCTCTCCAAAGCTCTCGCCTCCTGGCGCGCTCCTATGGTCAGCGCAGATTTGGTCAGCTGATCCATAGAATCCGCCCTGGGCCCCCGGGAAAGCTCATCTTTCACCGCCGAAGCAAGACCTTCTTCAAAAAGCATTTGAATGGGTTCCGCCGATAAGTCCCACCCCAATCTGTGCACCAGCATGGTGAATTCAGTCCAGTACTCACGGACAGATCGGCTTCCCTGCTTGCAAGCCATTAGCTGTCTGCGCACCACTCCCTTCTCAATATCGCTGGAAAACATGAGATCCATTGCACGAAAGAACTTCATTGTGTCCTTTAGGATGTCATTATGCGTTGCCATCAGGGGCCGAACCCAGTCCCGCGCCCCCTTTTCAAGATGCCCAATCACGAAAGCCACTCGCGATTCCTCGTCAGGGAATTCCTCAAACTGCACATTGAGAGCATATTGCATCTCTGTTCTAAAGGCATGGTAGTCCTTGGGGTCCCCCCCAAACTTCTGCACCAATCCTGGTACCTTTCTGGTGAACTGGGTGGTTTTCCCCTTCTTGTCTGCATCCTGCGCCCTTCTCTCCTCAAGCCTCGCCGTCTGCAGCGCCAGTTGGATCTCCAACGCTCGGTACCTTTCTTCCAAGCTTGGACCAGCTCCAACCCCTGCTCCTCCGGTTCCGGCTGGGTCACTCATGATGCCTTTTCCTGCACCAGCAGCTTACAACGACTGTCGGAATGCTGTGATGGGATGATGAGCTGCTTGTGCGTAAAAGCGTAGTCCCTCAGAGTCTGTGCACGTTCACAAACCTCTGTCTGTGACGGAGCCCCTCAGACATGGCTGCTCTAGTCACTTGCAGATTCCGACAGTGGTTGCTTTCGGAATCGTTTCCAGCATAAAAGCTCCTTAACGGAAACACGTCTTCTGGACTCACGGCGTGACAGTTTCCGGCGAGGCGTGGGTCTCCCTATGGGAGCTTCAGATACCTCCCCACTGTTCTCGCTGGAAGCGTCTCTGAGCCCTCCCTCCTGCTCGCATTCCCTCAGAGATCCACTCCTCCCCCGGCTGGTTCCTGCTTCAGCTGTTGAGTCTCTCCCAGCCTCCCTGAGCCCCTCCACCACCTGTTCCTCCGATGGCAGTTCCCTGACACACAGCAAAATGAGTCAGTGCTGCGTAACCCAATTCCCCCCCCCCCGATTCTAAGTGCTGCTTAACCCATTAATAACCACGTTTCATAGGTCAGTATGAACAGATTGAATAACTTGTATGCAACGTTCAAAGAAAAGTCGCGCTGGAAAAAACCAGGGTGCCTAAATATTTGATACTTGCACTTCGGTTTCAACCCATATTCAATCTTTCTTATTCCTTTTGGTGGTCTTGCCAAGCTACTACATTTAGGTGGTCATAAAACAACACTCCAAGGGTTGTTCAATGTGTATGGGTGAAATGCAGCATGGGGAATAATGTACCATAAAGTTGATAACTCGCTATGATCAGGTACATAACTGTCCTAAAAATCATGCTGAGGTGAGCTGCTGAAGTCAGTGGTAAATTCCAGTGCCTTTCTACTACACACAGTCCTTATTACCTTTTGGCAAGAATATAGTTTGATTTTTATATTCTGTTTCTTACTTACACTGTTTTAGAATGTTAATGATTTGGGTACTTTCTTTTCTACTCAACTGTCTAAGAGATACAGTGGTACCTCGCAAGATGAATGCCTCGCAAGAAAAAAAACTCGCTAGACGAAAGGGTTTTTGGTTTTTTGAGTTGCTTCGCAAGACGAATTTCCCTATGGGCTTGCTTCGCAAGACGGAAACGTCTTGCAAGTTTGTTTCCTTTTTCTTAAAACCGTTAATACAGTTGCGACTTGACTTCGAGGAGCAACTCATAGCACGCGGTGTGGTAGCCTTTTTTGAGGTTTTTGAAGACTTTGGTGATTTTTGAAGCTTTTCCAAAACTTCCGAAACCGTGCTTCGCAAGACGAAAAAACTCGCGGAACGAATTAATTTCGTCTTGCGAGGCACCACTGTACTTGGTAGACCTTGGAACTGTTTTTGTATAAGATGGTTCTTTAGTATACATAAGATCTCACTTCCTGAGAAATCTGATTACACACTTGGGATTAAGTGCAGATTTAATGTCCCAGCAATTACAGTCATACCTCGGCTCCCAAACGCCTTGGGGTAGTTGAACGTTCCACCTCCTGAACGATTGAAAACCAGAAGTGTGTGTTCCGTTTTTTGAACTTTTTCGGGGGAAGCCAAACATTCGGTGCAGCTTCCGCTAATGTTTCTGATGCGCCTGCACAATTGGAAGTCACACCTTGGTTTCCAAGCGTTTCAGAAGTCGAACGGACTTACAGAACAGATTCTGTTTGACTGCCAAGGTACGACTGTAGCCTGACATTCTGCTGGTACCCCGTGTTTGCTTGTGTGCATGCAGTTGATCAGGGTGAGCATTATTACTGCGATCTTTACACCTGCCCTCCAAACCTGGGCGTAACCAAGAACTTCTAAGAGGCAGTTAAGATATTGGGCTTAATTGGGCAGCAAAAATTGTTCCACATGAATGAAAGCAGAACATGAATAAACTTTGTAGTGCTCCAGAAAGCATCACTGATTGAAACCTGTACTGTCGGTTGGTTAAAAAGTAGTGTGAGGATAAGGAATGGTTGCATTTGTATTAGCATAGATTAGAGTTGTCTGCTGCATGCTAAAAGGAAAACACAGCGTGGCAGCTAAATATCAAAGGAGTAAACTTCTTCTGTTCTTCCAGTACTATAACAGCTTGGGGAAAAGACCACGAAAAAGATGCTTTTGAACACATTGTGACACAATTTTCTTCAGTGCCTGTATCTGTGGTCAGTGACAGTTACGACATTTACAATGCTTGTGAAAAGATATGGGGTGAAGATTTAAGACATTTAATTGAATCAAGAAGTGCAGAAGCGCCACTGATTATTAGGCCAGATTCAGGAAATCCTCTTGACACTGTGCTAAAGGTAATTCTTTAAAAAATCTTCAGTTTTTAAACTTACTTAATGAAGTTATTTGGGAAAGACCTTTTCTTTTAGTCTAATGCCATTTCTACTCTGTTACAAAATTGTATGATTGACAAAATGGTTTATCTAAAATTACTTAGAAATATCTATGTGGACTTCACTAGCTATGCCTACAGATAATTTTTGTTGGATCTGTTCAGTTTCTGTATCTAAATATATTCATGAGCTATGCTGACGTTTATTAAACTAGTGTCTGGCATATATTAAGTTTCTATAGAAAGACCCTAAACATCTCATATAGTTAACCTGAAATTCATAAAGTGACCTGGTTCACACATTATGGTAAGCAAAATTATGCTTGGGACCATGCATACTGTGTTGGCTTCCGGAGAGAAGCTGGCAACCCCTTTGTTCAGGCATAGGTAAACTCGGCGCTCCAGATGTTTTGGGACTACAACTCCCATCATCCCTAGCTAACAGGACCATTGGTCAGAGATGATGGGAGTTGTAGTCTCAAAACATCTGGAGGGCTGTGTCTGCCTATGCCTACCTTTGTTCCTTCCCAGTGCTTTTAGCACAGTGTAGTGGCCAAGTCAAGATTAGGCTTTTCCTGGTTAAGGGCTTTTCTTCCTTAACCACAGCCTGTAATGATAGCTCAAGCCTTTTCTGTGCTAAAAGGACTAAAAAGAAAAGGACTCTGGAGGAGCGCAGTGAGTGCAAGCATATTTGCATGGTCCCAATAAGTCATATAGATCATGACATAGGAATGAGGCCACCAATGCAAGATAATTCAGGCCATGCATGGGAACCAGTGACCTAATGGGCATGTGGCTTTGCACTTGGCTGTCCAGAAAGTGGATATCACAAGCTACGTTGCTAAGAGCACGTAAAGATAATACTGGTGTGTCATGTAGTGAACAGAGGACCTCACTGCCCTGGCCATATTTCATATAGACACCAGTTTTGTGTGGATAACTATTTGAACATGTTATAATAATATATATTGTATTAACTTTTGTTTTGATTTATTAGTGTATCCTTGATGATATGTATGTACAGTGGTGCCCCGCAAGACGAATGCCTCGCAAGACGAAAAACCCGCTAGACGAAAGGGTTTTCCGTTTCGGAGGCGCTTCGCGAGATGAATTTCCCTATGGGCTTGCTTCGCAAGACGAAAACGTCTTGCGAGTCTCGCCATTTTTTTCCGCTTCCCCCCCTTTTTCAAAGCCGCTAAGCCGTTAATAGCCTTTTAACAGCTTAGCCGCTAAGCCTTTAATAGCCGCTAAGCCGCTAAATCGCTAATAGCGCTAATCCTCTTAGCCGCTAATGGGGTTGCTTCGCAAGACGAAAAAACCGCTAGACGAAGAGAATCGCGGAACGGATTCTTTTCGTCTTGCGAGGCACCACTGTATTATATTTGTTTAATCCTTTTATTTTTTTCTCTTTGTTAGCTATGCAATTTTTAAAAAAGACATTCATAACCCCATAAAATCAAAATTCCACAAAACTAAACTGTTTGCAATACATATGTTTTGACTAGTAGGTTGTACCACTGAGTCTTTTCATTCTTACATATAGCTGCCTGTAAATTGATTGTCCTAACCCTTCCTTTCCGAACCATCATGGATGGTAGCAGGATAGCATATTATTTAAGTGAAGTAGTTCTAAGCTATCAGTTTGTTCTTTTGCATAGGACACATCTCAATTATAATTACAACAGCATTTTGGGGTGGGGGTGACATCACTATTTCCAGGATAATAGTTCAGAATGGTGACTTCCAGACTAGTTTCTGAAATTTGGGGATTCCAGCTTTGGCTTTCAGAAATTTAAAACAACACTGTATAGTGCCGCTGCGTTGCCAATAAAAGTTAATGATTTCAGTTTACCAGCACAATGGAGTGCTTGATAAACAATGACAAATGTTTCAGCTGCTGCTATCTACAAAAACAAATACAAATATATCTGGTTTGTTTAAATTGGCACAGGTTCCAGTGGCAGAATATTGTACAATTTTAAGGCATTACTGAGACCTGAGGAAAGACCTGAGTAGGCACAAACAATTTTGTAATTAAATAGAGCCGTAAATCTCAAATTAAGGCTTCGGATGAGCTAGTGACTTTAGCAGGCAGCCATGCAGAAGGTAACAAAAAGACTTGAACACTTCTTACTATAACAAATTTTCAATTAACTTTCCAGTCAAGAGACATGAGTAGTTAAGACTTAATCCTAAGTAAATAGGACTACCGCTTTTTGGAAGCTTTCTACAGTTGTACCTTGGATCCCAAATGCCTTGGGAGTTGAATGTTTTGGCTTCTGAACGCAGCAAACCAGGAAGTGAGTGTTCCAGTTTGCGAACGTTCTTTGGAACCTGAATGTCCGACGTGGCTTATGCAGCCAATCAGAAGCCGCACTTGGTTTCCGAATGTTTTTGAAGTCAAACGGACTTCCGGAATGGATTCTGTTTGACTTCGAGGTACAACTGTACTGAAAAGCCAACCTCGCAAACTTAGTTTACTTTTAAGAATATCACAGTCTAGTCTCCCTATACCAAATCATTGCATTGGTCTATCTTGTTCAGTGTTCTCCACACACTGAGTGGCAGCGGGTTTCTTGACAAGGAATATTCCTAGCCCTACCTAGAGATACCAGAGATTGAGCCTAGGGAGTTGTATGCCTCAATACAGTGGCTGAGTTCCTTTATTCCTTCTTTATTCCTTCTTGAAGCATAAAATTTTGACTTGAGGCACACATATTTGTATGACTGAACTGGCTTATTCAGCGAAGTAATGGACTAATTGTTTAATTTGGCTTTCTGCAGGTTTTGGAGATTCTAGGAAGGAAGTTCCCTATTACAGAAAATGAAAAAGGCTATAAACTGTTGCCCCCTTACTTAAGAATTATTCAAGGAGATGGTGTAGATATCAACACATTACAAGAGGTGCGCCTTTTTATTAATATGTAGATTGCGTCTTCAGTGTCTTCTCTGACACAGCAATTAAATAAGATGTTCAGAGGGGGGAAATGATTAACAACTTTGTTTTTGTTCACGTTTTTGTTCATATTATTCCCAAATGGGTCAATGTGCTTGACTGTTAACTAGATGGTTGCTAGCCCGAGCTCACCCAGGATACCAGGGGGTTGGACTAGATGACCCTCAGGGCCCTTCCAACCCTACGATTTTATGATTTAAGATTGTATGTCACAGCTTAGTTTCATCTGGCCTCTAATGTGATGCCAAAAACACTCCTGCCCTTGAAAGCAGAAATCTGGCCTGCTGTTAACTGGCTGCATCTAGCCTTTGAAAGTTGTCTTCAGACTGAAGGCTATCCAGTGCTGTGAAAGACACTACCTTGAAAGAAGATGTCTTGAAGCAGCCGATCAGATAGCTGAGAGCTGCCTAATCTCAGGATAACACTCGATAGCGACCCACCCCCCAGCCTATGGAGGGAAGCCACCAAAGATGCAGATTATCTGGTGCAGAAGAGCCTTTGGAAGGTGAGGAGAGAGCGCACCTGGTCAGGCAATTCTGCTGGAAGTTTCTCTGGGCCTCTCCTAACAGTATATAACCCAGTATAGACAGGAAGATGAAATAGGGTGTGGGAAATTGGAGAGCGCAAAGAGTTAAAGGTACCCCTGCCCGTACGGGCCAGTCGTGTCCGACTCTAGGGTTGTGCGCCCATCTCACTTAAGAGGCCGGGGGCCAGCGCTGTCCAGAGACACTTCCGGGTCACGTGGCCAGTGTGACGAAGCTGCTCTGGCGAGCCAGCATCAGTGCTGCACACGGAAACGCCGTTTTACCTTCCCGCTATAAAGCAGTACCTATTTATCTACTTGCACTTTGACGTGCTTTCGAACTGCTAGGTGGGCAGGAGCTGGGACCAAAAGACGGGAGCTCACCCCGCCACGGGGTTTCGAACCACCGACCATGCGATCGGCAAGCCCTAGGCGCTGAGGTTTTACCCACAGCGCCACCTGCGTCCCACCGCGCAAAGAGTTATGAAGGTGTAAATAGAGCAGGAGCTGATCTGTGCTTTCAAAGGCATTTCTTGGACCATTAAACCACAGAAATCAATTGCTCACTCATTTGTGTGTTTCTGTGGTTCAATAGATTAGTAACAGCTGTAGTGCATGAACATTGCTAGTTGTCACTTGGCATACAAAAGCACCATCTAACCTTGAACTGAAATAACATGTGAGCAAACCTTAGCGGAAGGAAGTGAAGTCTGAGTGTTTGTCTTTCAGCTGGAAAAATAAATGGCGTTTTTATCCTCACATGTTGCTGTAAAGTCAGTATCTTTGTGTGTAAAATATGCCTACCTACCTGTGCAGTTGTTTCCCCCAAAGATAATTAATTGCACTTTTATGCATTTTATGGTATTTGTTGGCAGCAGTTTGCTGTAATTACATGAAATATTTACAGAGGGTTTGCGAAGTATCATTGAGCCTTAAATAGAGCCTTTACACTAGTCTGTAAAAGAACACCATGGTAAATGCTTAATAGGAAAAATGTCTTATTTGTGCACCTCTTAATTTTATTTTATTGCTTTCTTATCAGATGGTGGAAGGAATGAAACAAAATAAATGGAGCATTGAAAATATTTCATTTGGGTCCGGTGGAGCTTTACTGCAGAAAATAACTAGGGACCTCTTGAATTGTTCCTTCAAATGCAGTTACGTGGTAACCAACGGCCTTGGGGTATGTTCTTTAAATGTAGATTTTACATTAGAAAAAAGGGCCTTGATTTCACTCTTCAGTGTGAATGTGCTCATCTTTTACTCATAGCATCTTTTTATTCCAAATTTTAGGTAAACGTGTTTAAAGATCCTGTAGCTGATCCCAACAAAAGGTCAAAGAAAGGCAGGTTGTCTTTACACAGGACTCCCGATGGAGACTTCGTTACGCTAGAAGAAGGCAAGGGAGACCTTGAAGAATATGGGCAGGTATGTATGCCTTGATGTAGGGTGATATCAAAAGTTAGTCATGCATAGACCCATCTGTGGACTTAACTAATTTTTATAGCATGCTGAATACAGTTGATGTTCATTAATTGTAGCATCAGGTGATTACTTGAACGTGTGAACCAATCAGCACCAGGAAGAACCTGAGTATTAACCAATGCCTATTCCAGGGCAATCATTTTCAATTGCAATAGTTCACGTTTTTAACAGAGCCGTAAAGGGATAAGACATACAAGTGTGTGAATCAGCCCATGGTTCTATTTTAATATGGGTTTTAACTTAAATCATAATTACCATGATACGTAAATTAATAAACTCAGAGTTAAAGCTGTGGCTTCTCCAAGTTTTGAGTTTATGTGCTGCTGAAGCAAGCACACTTTGCCAGGTTTGAGGAGCCCAGTTTGAAATAGAATCTGTTAGACATTAATGTTCATTTAGGGGCTAATTGTCCATACAATTGTCCACTCTCAAGCCCTAGGCACAGTTAGCTGCTAAAAGAGGTAAGGTGTTTTCTCCATTTATTCAAACAGATTTATATACTGCTTAACAAAAAGACCAACATTCCAAGTGGTTTACATAAAATAAAACAAAATATTCATTAAAATACAGATAAAATCAACCAACTTTAAAAACAAGTAGGTAGAAAAGCAACAGTCTGAAAGAGAGATATAGATAATAAAATCTATGTTCCCTGCCTGTCTCTGGGGGACTTCAAATTCCTCCCAGCCTGGCTTATATGTGTCTGAGTTTGGAATGATGAGCTGTGTCGCTCTTGAGTTGAGGGTCTTCATCTGCCAAAGCAGACTCCTTGACATTGACAAGCCAAATACTGTTTTATTATTGAAACTAAGAGTAAATGGTGTCTGTTTGCAGGATCTCCTTCATACAGTGTTTAAGAATGGAATAGTAACGAAGTCCTACTCGTTTGATGAAGTAAGAAAAAATGCCCAGCTGAAGAATAGTGAACTGACAGAGGCATCTCACTAAAGTTTCATTCCATGTTTGTATTTGTGTAACAACTGTGTACTGCACAGCTAATGATTTCTTGTACAGATCTGTGTGTTTCTGTTTGCCACATTATAGCCAAATTATTTGTTGGTTTATGGACATCACTGCCCTCTCTCTTCTTTTCCTTTATTTTTGCCAGCCTTTAGAGAAAAAAATGGAGTTGGGAAAACACTTGCAGTGTAAAATATGTGCTTCTAGGAGTCCTTTGGTATTCAATCTGGTATTGAGCTCCTCATTGATGAGACACAACTGAGACTTTTTATACATATAAATATATATATATATAGCAACATACCACAAAACAGATCTGCATAAAAGTATCATTGCTTTATGTTTATATTTACCTTGTATTTTTGTACAAACAAGATTGTGTAAAATATATTTAAAAGTTACAATTATAATGTCTTTCCAACTTTTCATGATTTTTATGAGCACAGACTTTCAAGGAAATATTTTGGGGTGGGGGAATACATTGCCTTTGTGTCCATTGATCAGCAAATAAAACATGGCCTTAAGTTTTGTTGTGACAACTGTACTATTTGGAAGTTTTAATCAGGATAGCTCCCTCAAAACCCACAGAGAAAGGGACTTTGCTGTTCATTGTAGCTACCGGTCAGCGAAACCTCTTGTTCTTGTTGAGGTGCTGTGAGAATATATAAACACATAAACACTTTCTAGACAGTAGGCGATATAACTGGAATGCCAAATGAGGAAGGACTTCTTACTGCAACAAAGATTGCCAAATGCACCTCAATATTCCAAGAATATTGGAATCTGAAATCAGTGCAACTCATTTCCAAGAAAGCATGAAGGAGATCTGGCAGCAGAACTTCTAAGGGATTTCCTTCCGCTGCGGAACATATATTTATATCTAAAATATTGACAGGTAGGGAAGTGATGTATTAAAGTAACTACACTTCGGGGTTTATTTTTACATATATTGTGACAAACTTAAAAGCAGAATACTGGTCTTAGTTGTGCACTTTTTTACTTTTTGTATTTTGGTCTTTGATTTTGCCTTTTTGTCAGACTGGATGTTGACCTTGTATAGACGTCTTAACTATTTTTTTTGTTGAACAACTTTAATAAAACATTATACTAGCAAACTCCTTTTACATTGGAAGCCTCCCCTATAGGGGATACTATGCAGAGGTGAACTATTTTAAATACTAAAGGTGATGAAAGGTACTCTTTTCATGACTGCACTTGATTCACTTTCTACACATGCTTTGAATTTCTTACTAAAGAACAAGTCTGTTGGTGAATGACTTGGCATGCTGTATCAAGTTCTCAGGTGTACAGCCATACTTCAGGTTGGTAGAAGACATGGATTTGTCAGCCTTTCTAGAGGAAGCAATATAATTTTGGTTCGTTAGCTCTGGTGAGGGATAAAATCTCGGATCGCTGTATAGGTGACGCGTAAGTGGGTTTAAACTATTATCTGGGAAATGGTTCAGAAGAGCTCTAACATAATGGAGAAAACAAAGATAATATACTTTTTGAAATGCTTGAAAAGCCATATTTTAATATTCCTGCTATGGAACACATGTAATTCCACAGTCTTGATCTATTTTGTGTTAGAAGGTTTTCTACGTTATTGCTATCAGAAATAGTGGTTTGGTTAGCACTCTGAACAGTGAGTTTCACTCCTAGAAATGTCCTTACCCTGATAACTGAAGTAGCTTGTCTTGGGCTGAAAAAGTTCAAAAACTGATTCAAGGTCAGCATGGTTAAGCTTCCACATAATGTACCAAGGAAAGAACTGTATGATAAGTGATACAAGAAACCTGGCAAGTCTTTCAACTGATATTTTTATACTTGAGGGCAATGGAGAGGCATATTCTTCTATGCACCCTGCGTTCCCTGGGTGTTTGATTTCTAATTCCTCACCTATCCTAGTTGGAAAATCCTGAGCTCTTACCATCAAGGATTTAGTGTTAAGACGGTTGACACCTGAAACGTGAAGTAGTTTGGTGCTGGATACAACTTTACAGAGCTTGAACCTTAAATATCCTAATTCTTCCATGCAAAAGCAAGCAGTGTGTTTGGGTTTGCTTTTATCAATTAGGATCGTATGGACTTAGATCTTTAGCTCCCATTTCATTGTAGTGCAGTACTTGTTTTTAAAAAACGGCAGTTGGGAAGCTTTGTGTTTAATTTATTTGTAACCTGTATTTAACATAAGAAATTATTTTTATGACTATTTTTTTCTCAGAGGAATGATTATGAAATTGATATGAAATCTTTTTATAGCAAAGAATCCACCTTGGGAGATTTGAGATGTATTTATTGTTTGCCAAAATTCAAAAAGTAAACAGAATTTTCTCTAGTTTTACATTCCTTCTTAACCTACTTAGCCGAGTAAGTATTCTTCACCTAAATCCTGTGTTTTAGTCAAAATGTACTTTGCATTAAAGACAAATGTAATAAACATGGAAATAAAGTTTTAGTTCCAGTAGTAAAACATATAGCTATTTGATTTTATTTCAGGCTTGTGCTTTTTGTTTGTCAAAAATTACTTACGGAAGAAAGGGTGATGCTGTAAGCCAGGGATGGCCAGCCACTGTATTCTGCTTGGCAACTTGTATTTCCCAAGCCTGGCAATATATTTTAACATGCAACCTGAACCCATTGTGGAGAATCAAGTTCTATAATCAAACTGCCACCACACTGCACTAAATGGCTTCACAGGTATGGAGCACATTGGCTTGCATGGTGTGAGGTCACTGACCGAGAAGCTGAACATGAATGTGCTTCCTAAAAGATCTGCCAGATCAGCAGAGGACCTTTGCCTGCCTTGATAAGGAACAGCGATACTATATATTGTCTGCAACACTCAGGGCAACAGTCCCCATCCCCTTGCTTGCTGCACCTTGAATAAAATATAATATGGTCATCTAGGACGACACATACTTTCTCTGTACTCTGCATCCAGGCCACAGCCTGCCAGCTGACCATCCCTTCTGTAACCCAAAATAACCTGGTTAAAACATGCAGTTCTTAAAGATTTCTAGTGGTCTACGGTGTGTCTTGAGTCTCGCACTTCTTGATGGAGCACAAATATTTCAATAAAATACCTTTTAAATTTGTGTTGTTGCTTTATACTTCTAAAATGGTGTGTAGCTAGCAAACAGTAAGCTGAGGACTTGGGAAATGTCTGCTTTAAGCATCTTCAACCTCTCTGACAAGCACACGTTGCGAAAGTGCTGTAGTTCTTCTAGAGAATGTGCATTGTATGACGAAAGTCCCAGGTTCATTCCCTGCCACCTTCTGATAAACACTTCTGTGTACAACTTTGGAGCCACTGTCCCTTCAGAAGTCAGCACGGGGCTCAACTGGTCTTTTCTTCCATAGAGCCAAAAATTTGTACCTGTGTTACGATTCATATAGCGCTTGTCTGAGATGTAAACTAAAAAATGAATGTTTTCCCTGTGAAATCCTACATCACTCTCACCTTGACGCAGCTGCACAAGTGCAGATATATGCTGCTGCTTTTTAAAATTAAATTAGAATACACACCCTTATTTTCCTGTAAAGCAAAAGGAGTGTTGATCATGTGCTTTACTTGGGTCTAGTTTCGTCGAGTTTCTTGAGACCAGTGGTGCAATTTCAACAAACCCCTGACCAAAGAACCATGTCTCAAAGCTATCTAGACACCAACAATTATTCTTCGTGTGATGGGCAGAATTGAAACCAGAATCTGTTCATGTGCAAACCCAGGCCAGCTTCCATTATCTTGCTCGTAACCTGCTTTGAAATGTGAGTTCTATTGCAAAGCAAAGGTTAGCTAGTTAATTCTGTCTTTTTATTGTCTTTTAAAAAGCAACTTCCCATTTCTGAATCTCATGATTCTTAAATAAAGGTATTTGACTGGAACTCAAATTAAGCCTAAATTGTTTACCTGGTCTGAATTAATTTAATGCTTCTGCCTAGACCAGGGGTCGGCAAGGTTTACCAGCTGTGGGCTGCTTAACTCCTGCAGAGATCGCTCTGTGGGCCGGCGTGTGAGCGCAATTTCAGACTCATTTCCAGTGCGCAGGAGCTTCCTGCAGCCAATCGGAGGCTGCCCAGCGTCGTGGAAGGCGGTCTCTGCTCCGCGCCAGCACGGGAGCCGGGTGGGCAGGGCTCCACGGGCCAGTTAAGAGACCCTCACGAGCCGCTTCCAGCCTATGGGCCTTAGGTTGCCTATGCCTGGCCTAGACATCCGTTGCCAACATTAGTTTGGCCTCATAGAGTTTAAAGGAAGCCCTGTAAAAAGGCCTCTCCTCCAGAAGGATTTTCTGCATGTTCAGGGAAAGGGGTCAAAACATGTGCTCTACCAGCTGAGGTAAAGGTAAAGGGACCCCTGACCATTAGGTCTGCATGACTTAGCATGACTAAGCCGGTTCAGGCGAACCAGAGCAGCGCACGGAAACGCTGTTTACCTTCCCGCCAGAGCGGTACCTATTTATCTACTTGCACTCTGACATGCTTTTGAACTGCTAGGTGGGCAGGAGCAGGGACCGAGCAACGGGAGTTCACCCCATTGCGGGGATTCAAACCACCAACCTTCTGATCGGCAAGCCCTAGGCTCAGGTTTAGACCACAGCGCCACCTGCGTCCCTACCAACTGAGCTAACTGAGCATAAAAGCAGGCCAGGCGAGTCTCTGAACTTTGCCTAGGACTCATCTGCTGCTGCAAAGGGGATCCCAGCGACTGAAGCGGACATAAGATCAGGTTTGCTGTTCACTGCAGTTTCCCTTCTAAGAAAACTTAGGAAGTAGTGTGCTTTTTGCCTTGCTCAGATCCCAAATCCCTGCATGTGGGTGACAGAACAGGGTCTGTTGCAGTCTATCCTACCTTACAAGGTGGAAGATGTATGAACTCATTTCACCTTTTAAATAGGCAGCTTAACTTTTTATGCTTAGCTTTATTGTACAGTGGTACCTCAGGTTAAGAACTTAATTCGTTCTGGAGGTCTGTTCTTAAGCTAAGGTACCACTTTAGCTAATGGGGTCTCCTGCTGCCGCCGCGCCACAAGAGCATGATTTCTGTTCTCATCCTGAAGCAAAGTTCTTAACCCGAGGTACTATTTCTGGGTTAACGGAGTCTGTAACCTGAAGCGTCTGTAACCCGAGGTACCACTGTATTTGGAGCACCTGTTGGAAAAGCCTGCAAACATCTTCTAAACCTCTGGAAATCCTTGAAAAAGCCAACAGCTTTAGTGTTGGACGGACACTAAAGGTGGCCCTGTCTTCCTCATCGCCAGAGGATGGGTTGCAAACGACAACAAGCGGGCTAGACCAGTACCCCAAAGTGCTTGGCAGTGGGTCAGATGGGGCTGATGGTGTCTTGCTGAGGAACATAGCGATGAGCAGCGGGTGCTTTTGCCTCTTGAGTTGCTCCGGGCACGCTTGGTCTGCAGATACAGTTTGATGTTCTTCAAATTGAAGTGTCGTTTGAACAGGCCAGCCAACTGGCGCTGACCTCCTTTGCAGGGTCCTTGAAGTGCTTTCTTTCTCAAGGTGCTGCCATCGACGGGCATATGCTGGCAGTTCATGTCCTCTAGCCACAGATACAGTGCCTTGTCTCACACATGACTGGGGTCCTTGGCAATTGTAGGTGTACAGATACTCGCTGCCACTGCCTCCCAAATCTTGATGCCACGTATGCTGGGGGGTGGGACAAGGGCCAGCATAAGGGGCCAATGCTCCTCAGCCCAGGTTCAGGTCACTCTTTGTATTTTCATTTACTGTTTTTCCCTTTGACTTTGTTGCAGGTGTGCCCAGCACAGAAGTCTGGGGCATGGCAGCGCTCACTGGGCACAACTCCCGTTGCCTCCCACAACTGGGGGCCTAACCTTGACAACAAGGCATGCGATGAGGTGCGCAGATGCCTAAGTGGCACAGATCTGCGAAGGCGGACCTGGAGGAATATGCCCTAAGTCCAGCAACGACCAACCTATGGTCCAAACTCCTCCCCCAGCAGTGCTTAGATAGCCCACAAACTCACTAGGGCCTCAGGGATTGGTGGGTGGCAGGGTCTAGTCCTCAGTAGGAGAGGATGTTCAGCTGTTAGTGTTAAGTTGTGGGCGAACATATCAGACGACACAGCGATTCTTCCAAGCAGCTCTTTATTTGTAAGCTGGAACAGAACTGAATTGAGGAGCTCAGTCAGCCTGCTTATATAGAGCTCCAGAACAATGTAACTGTTGCCATTTTCTAAAACTATCCAATCACTGAACGTCACTTTTGATCCTTCATTTGCATACAAACTATCCAATCACTGAACGTCACTTTCGATCCTTCATTTGCATAACTATCTACAGTATCCCCCTGCTGGCCCAGGGTGAGAACTTCAGTACATAACAGTTAGGGTCTCGGGTGGCGGTTTTAGGCCTTGGTCGGTATTCTATAGTCTATCTGTGAGTCAGGGGCAGCATATTGATGCACCCCATTGCAGCGGCATTTGCAGGGCCTGTTAGAGGGTTTATTGTGGGAGTCACTGGCCCTACAGCGGTGGCATATAGGTCCAACTCCTGGCTAGGTGAAGTGGGAGGGCATGCTGGGTAAGTTTGTGCTTTCCAGTCCCCTCCCACAACACCTGATTGCCCTGCACATCCTCAGCCCCTGTTGGGTATGAGAGTGAAACCTTCCAAGGCCTAAGCCAAGGTTCCTACAGCTGCAATTAAATAAAGTTGTGGCCTAATTTGAATCCTTACATTGTTTCCCCCCCAATTTTTTTTATTGATTTTCACAAAATTATAAACAAACAGGTAAACAAACAGACATAAATCATAACCTTATTAAAATTGCACTTATTATAAACCCATACATTGTTGTCATGTCTCATCTCTTGGGGGTGTGGTGGGCACCGGGGACAGGGTTTAGCGCGTGGGCTTGCAAACAGTCCCGCACTTCCGATTTCTCCTCCAGCGTGTGCACCATTCTCTGCCTCTTGGGTTTGTCATCACCCATGGAAGATGACAGTGCTGTGTGTTTAGGTGCCATCCCAAAACTCCAACACATTCGCTCTCCCCCAACTTTCCTCAAACTCCACCTCTCCACAGGCTTCAATGGTCAGTGGAAGGGCTCTTGGTTGGGATTGCAAATGCAAAGGTCCGTGCGATTGCTAAGTGATGTTTTGTGCCTTTTCTGACTTCTTTGTGCCTCTTCTGGGGGCCGTTTTAGCGATTTTTAAAATTCGCTTCAGGCGAAGCACATATACATAGTCACGCGCATATTGAATGTGTGTAAAGGGGGGTTGCCTGTATGTGCTTTAATGGAACATAGGTCCAACTTCCTCCCTGCAGGCAGCAGAACATGGATTTGTTTGCATGACTAAGGTATAGGCCTGCCCTTGTAGGTATTGAGAAAGGGAGAGCATTGCACATATACAACCTGGAAGGCTACAACTTGTTTTCTTTTTGAAGCAGACAGCAGTGGCAGTCTTTCAATCGATGGTAACCATGTAAATTTCTACATCCAAATAAAAAGATATAAGA